AAAGTGATCCTCTGATGAAGTGACACAATCTTTAGGAGCTTGTTGAGATTGACGGGTTTCTCATACTCTTTTTTCCTTTCTCAAGATGTAACTTTTTCTCTTATCTATCTTCTCTGTGTTTATGTATTTTTTAAATAAGCTGAACTAATGTTAGCAGGAGTGGGAGCTCTAATAAAGACCAGGCTTCAGCTGCTTCTTGCATTTTTACCACCATGTTTAGTCAATGTCCCTTTCAGAAGTTGAATCAGAAGGCAGGAGTCTTGTCTACACTAGGGCTTCCACCAATTCCAAAATGGGAAGGTATTTTTGTTGTTGTTTTTTTTAACTTCTCCTCACCATCCACAAGCCTCTAGAGATGTGATTAGAGCACAGTTCCTCCTACCCCAATGGTAAATTACTATATGGTCCAGTCAGCAATACAAAATCTGTATATATGCACAGCGCTTAAACATTTTAAAGGCCCAACTATAATGTAGCATGGCTTTGCCTCTGTGGATACAAGGCCAGGGGCAGAGCATAGCTTTTTGACATAGTTATAACATGGTTAGGTCCCAACCACACTGGCAAGATCAAGTCATATTACAACACAGGTGGTCACTAACACGTATAAAGCTCCATATTTAAAGGGACACTATCAACTTTCTTAGATTGTAAACTCTTCAGGGAGAGGCCCATGTCTTCAAAAATATTTATATTGTATTTTCCACAAAGGGGCTCTGATTCTGTTTTGGTCTTCTGGGTCCTACTGTAATACAAATATCAGGACTACTGTAGTGTATAGGAAAGGGTAGTATCCCTCTAAGTAGTTTTTGAGCCCTCTAGTGGCACTCACCATGTTCAGTGTTTTAGAAGTTGTCAAAAACTGGTCAGAGCTTGTACTGACTTGAATGGGAACAGTAGGTGCTCAGCACTCCTTTGAAAATCAGACCCCTTTATAATGTCTCAAGTTGGGATCCAAAAGATGGAGGTGTGACAAAGCAAGATACATCTGTATCAAATTATGAACTCTATTTTGCAGTAGGTGTTGAATACTAGGATAAACTTGCCATACCCAGGAAAGGCAATTGCCACCTCATTGAAGGACTATAGCTAAGACTAATCTAAGGCCATTAAAACTGCTGGCCCACCTCCATGGAACAATGTGTTTTCTGCACAGAGGTATGCAGGGAGTGACAAGCATGACAGGAGGGAGCTAGAGGAGTGATTCTCAACTTATTTATCATTGTGGGCCACACTGGGTGAAGAGGCAGCCCGGACCCCACCATGCTGGGCAGCTGGAAACCTGGACCCTGCCAAGCGGGCCAGCCTTTAGCACATAGCTGAGCTGGGTCGCACCTGTGTGCTAATTGGGCCGCATGTGGGCCACAGGTTGAGAACAGCTGGGCTAGTACTTCCCAGTGGAGCACAATGCAGAGACACAGAGATCCTACTTAACAGCAAGGTTCTGCTCTGTGCTGGGGGAGCCAACCACTGCCACACATAGGAAAGACTCACAAGAGTGCAAGGGCAGGCAGGACTCTGCCCTATATGAAATGCTGACAAACACTGGACTCACAAGAAGGGTGAGATCAGACCATGGGAGGGGCTGTCTCAGTACTCTTAGCCCTGGTCTACACTGGTGAGGGGGTGGGGGGAGATCGATCTAAGTTACGCAACTTCAGCTACATGAATAACATACCTGAAGTCGACGTACTAAGATCAACTTACCGTGGTGTCTTCACCGCAGCGAGTCAACCCCCCCGTCAACTCTGCCTGCGCCTCTCGTGGTGCTGGAGTACAGGAGTCAACAAGAGAGCGCTCAGGGGTCGATTTATCACGTCTAGACTAGACGCAATAAATCGATCCCTGCTGGATCAATCACTGCCCGCCGATCCGATCCGGCGGGTAGTGAAGACATACCCTTAGTGTTTTCAGCTATCTGTAATTCTTGACTGCTTGAAGAATAAACTGACTGTGGTTAAGAAACTCCTTTGCTAAGCCAATGTTCCTTGCTTTCCTGTGATGTTTTCCTTGATGAGGTTAAAACAGAAGCATAGGGTGTCCACAACCTCTTGGGGAGCATATGTAAGAGACTGGCTTTGGGGTCTAGGGCAATTGGATGACAGCATCCCACATCCCAAGGAAGGATGTCAGAAAAGTGGTCTGAGTCTTGGAGTTTGCCTTGTAGTCTGTAAGCTAGAAATAGTGACTAGACCCTACCCAGACCCAAGGGGCTTGGAAACGCATGTAAAAAGCTGTATATATCCACTGGATATTTTCCACTTTAACATTACAAACATAAATGTAACTCAAATGTTGACAACATCCTTTAATATTTGAAAATTCCAAATGTTCCCCACTATGTGAACACAACAGTCCTTTTTCAGACTAAAGAAAATAACATTTCCCCGTGCCTTCCATGATTCAACAGTTATGGAAACAGCTGCAGCATTTGCTGCTGGCAAAGGTCTGAATAGAAATCTGTCCCTATTCTAAGTATCCCTCACTTGGCCAGGCAGTACAGGGAAAGTGTGCTAATCAGAAGCCTGATCCCACTGCCTGGATTCACGAAGAGGTCAAGGAATCTCTTGTTCCCTCTGACAGTTCTAATGCTTCCAGGCTCTTCCTTATGCTGCAAACTGAACAAAACAGAAAGGCAGAAAGCATCTAATTCCCTTCCATATCCTGCATGACCACATATGTACGGCAGGGAGAGGGCACCTCTATCCAAAACGTGGATGAATGTGAAAGCCTAGTCCTTCCACCACACTAGCAACCAATATGTAGAGCGGGGGGTTAGCAACAACCTCTTTCATCTAATACAACAATCAAATTGTGGAGGGTGGGTTACAGCCCTATAACGCTCACCCACTCAATCAGTAACAAGGGACGAAAATCCTTTTGCCTGATTTCAAGGAACAGCTGTACCATTATTTATTCTGCAGCACACCAGACCTAAACTTTACAGCATGGTTCCATGATTTCTGCAATTCATCAGTTATAAATCCTACAGCATAATGTAAATTACACAGCAGGAAATGTATGGAAATACATTTAACACCAAATAGTTATATAAAATTCTTTTTATATTTGTTTTTAATATTTAATTGAAGGAAAACCTCTCATGTTTAATGAGTTTCTATGTCTTTCATGCTGCTGCAGAACTTCAAGCTTGCCACAGAATCTAACTCCATTGCATCATAGAAATCAGAAGACATTACATAAGAATTTAGGTCCAGTAAGCCATAAAGTAAATGGTACGCTGCTCATTGGAAAAAAAATAGGGCACCGTGTATATGTAGTACCCACTGCAGCTGAATAAAGCTAAACTCTCAACTAAGTCAGGAATTTCAAACATTCCTGTTGGAAAAGGAATATACAGAACCACCTACTGGATACTCTGGTAGCCAGTGAAGATCCCTGAGAGTCAGCCTGTCCAATTTGCAAACTGTACTTGCAATATTTTATATCTGTGATGGAAAAAACTGAAGCTAAACTGTGCACACACATTTAAGAAAATTAGGCCAATCTGCATCCTGGGATACAAAGTAACTCTAAGTAACATTATAGCACTAAAGCATAATTTTTAATGAGTTTATTTCTCTAACATTTTCATATCCTAGTAAATACAGTTCAACTAACATGAAGAACTGGATATTCTGGCATCCCATGAGTTTCACAATACCAGGTATCTGGTACCTGGCACTTTCTAACTGACAGCACATTTACCCATTTCCAAGCACCTGGGGTCCAGATGGGAAGAGGGGCTAGCATTCTATATGGAGATGAAAAAAAGCTTGGTGCTGGAGAGAAAACACTGATTATTGGATTAGCTGACAAAATTCTGACATAATTATACCTACAGCACTGTTTGTCTTGTTATCACCAGCCATCGATCCTATTAAACTACTGAGAGAAGCTAGCCATTAAAACAAATCAATATATTTGTGCATGCTTTATAGAAAAAAATAAACATTAGATATATGATATTTATAATAATACATATGCATATGCAGAAAACAGAAGACAATGTGGAATTATTTTTAGTCTAGATTAAACATTTATGGTGTAATGGTGAATGATGAGATGTTTGGATCTATGTGTAATCAGTGTTATGTCACACTGCTTTAATAGTCATTGCAAGCTGAAGCTGCTCAGCAAATCTCAAATACCATCTTTGTAACCACAACATAAATTATGAGACACAAAGTATAATCTGAATGCTAATCTTTTTCTTACTGGAAAGAAGCTCCAAAAATTGGACATAGCACAGAACAAGGACACAAATTGCCCTATTAACTTTGCCATTAGCAGGTCTTATTGATTGTTCCCAACATTATTTTATCCATTGGAAGCAATAGAACGATTTTAGATTATTAAGTGTTACAGATACCCAAAGAAAGCACACTGGTGGTTCCTGATCCTATTTTTCTCCACTGAAAGCCTTCCAGGAGGGCCAAATTATATATTCCTCCCCCACAATTCATCAGATGTTCCCAAATGACCCCATCTTCACAAATGGAGAGTTCCTGATTTTATTTTTTAAACCAAGAATCCACTTCTTGATTTATGCGCCCATCTTTTCCCACTGAAAATCCCTTGGAGGAACCTGAATCTATCCTCACCAGTAACAGCAGATCTACAGGAGCCCCTGATCATGACTTCCCAAACAACAGATCCCTAAGTGATCTTGCCTATATCCTCTCCAGAAGAAATAACCACTAGGTGTTTCTAACTATCCTGTCCTCTGAAAGACTAGCAAGTATTTCTGACTCTATTTTTACCTCTTTAGGTGGTAATAACTTATCTTTCTCAGGAAATGTTTCTGACTCTGTTCTTTGATGAAGTACACTGAGTGCTCCTTTAATAGATCTTCTTAATATGCTTTCACAAGAGGTATTTTATAGCAGCACGATTAGCACCTCCATATTACTGTACTTTGCAAAGCAGCTATGAACCTTACAACTTAGCAAATGACTGATACAGTGCAGTTGCTTTTATGAAGACGAAGACTTATTCACCTGTTGGAGTTGTGCTTTTGAGATGCGAATGACAGGGGGAAACTTGTTGCCACTGGGAATGACAGGAAGCTGCCTACGGCCAGTTGAGCGGGAAGAGGAGGAATGGCTCTCTGCTGATTGACTCCTGGGTAACCCAGCCTCTTTCTTAGGGTCCAAGTGGGAGGACAGATGGGCAATAGGGCTCAGGGTGCGGAGGATGGGACTTGAAATTCTTGGAGTGGAGAAATGCAGCATGTGAGATGAGTTGAGCTGTGAGAACAACATGGTGGGGAAAAAAGTAAGTTTTTCACATATATTTTTTTTAACAATTTATTTTTGACCTACTGCCTGTGTAGCTTTCTTACAGTGACAGAATCACATCTCTCTCTCTCAGGCTAAAAGCTGATAATTTAAGAGAGATATAAATTCAGAAGCCTCCACATTTATCATCCATTAAAAAAATTAATATCACAATAAGAAATGAGCATCCTTTTTCTCTTTGGCTATCTAGTCCCCTAACTTTACTCATCTATTCAGCAAGCATACATATAGGATAGGTATAACACTAAGCAAAGAAACTGTTGCAAAGATAATGACTGCATGAAATTGTTGATCACCGCACTTGTCTTTTCTACTGTTTAACACAGCAACATTGTTTTCTGACCGGACTATTTTTGCAGATCCATATACAGCATGCTTTACAACTGTGGTGGAACTAAAGCACAATGGGACTGCTGAAGTACCTAATTCATAAGGATAAGCACTGAGGTTAAAAGCAGCGACTTCTGGGAAATTTCCAAATTATGGGATGAAATTGGAGGAACAAACTGAAATGGTGAAGCTATAACAATTGTGGATTCCTGTATTGTCTGGATCAGGACTGAGCTAAAGATTTCATCCCAAATGTTGCAACCAACAGGAAAAAAACAAACCTTGGAAAGAGCTTGGATGGCTGTAGTGTGTAGAATAGGCAACATACAGGAACTGCAAGAACAAAGCCTCTCAGCTTTTGGAACACCTTTTCATTTAGGGTAGACAAAGCTCCAATAAAACCTATAGCCCTTGAATGCACAACTCTGAAGCCAACTAAAATCTTTGCAAGTCCTAATAAGCATTGAAGCAATACTGTTGAATATCTATTGCTAAAAATCATCAGATGAGATAATTATTTATCTCCTTTTTTGCAATTACTTTTAGACAAAATCAGAAAAGGGGAGAGATATGGAAAAATTTCCTTTAAAGTTTCTTGGATTTGATTTCTTCTGTTACTGCTGCTCTTTTAATTTTCGTTGGTATTTGGGAATCCCATTTGTCTTCCTATTATGATTGGATATTGATAATACTGTGGATGTATTGCACAGTTTCCAAGGAGAAGGTGTTAACAGCAGCATCACTTCTAGAGCTTCAGTACCCATAAAGTAGAATCATAGAATATCAGGGTTGGAAGGGACCTCAGGAGGTCATCTAGTCCAATCTCCTGCTCAAAGCAGGACCAATCCCCAATTAAATCACAGTTATCATTCACTTAAAAAAAAACTATGCCCAATGTGTCATAAAAGCAGCATGTGAAGAAGGAAGATACATTAAAATTAAAAGAGGAGGAACTCTAAAATAAGGGAAAGAACATTTCAAAGCCCTACTTCCTGTATCCCTTGCATTTCAAAGGCTACTACTTATGATCATTTTAGTGACATTTCTAAATAATAGCAAACCAACAGAAGCATGCAGACAAATCAGTTTTATAATTGTTCATATATATATTGAAAGTGGATTGCTAAACAAGTGTGACAAGAACAAACATCTGATTGATTAATTTAATCTAAAAGATGAAAGTGATATTAGCTGATACAGATTAGCCTCTTTCAATATGAATGAAAAAGTTGTACTGTTGAGAGATCTACTTGACAAATACTACATTTTGAAGACAGCTTTGTTCAGATACCATATAAAGTCTCACTGCATTTGGATACAAGTAGCAGAAATAAGAAAGAACAAGAAAATTAGTTCCCTCATCTGTAATTTTTATTTCTTATATTGGAAGGCACCAAGAGCTCTAGACATTACTCATGGGCTAGACCTGTTCATTCCACTCCAATAGAGTCATCTTAGACTGTTTTCTTTCCTCCTTTGAGCTCAGATTTCATGTATTGGGCTGCTATAGCCCTGCATTCTGACCCAGGGAGATTAATTCTAATGCTGAAACTATATAAACTAGGCAGAAAACATTAACATCACTGTAGATGGCACAATTAGTAGAATTAACGGAACTACATCTACAAACTCAATTTTATCAATAACCTTTTAATGTAAAAGGAGGGTTTGCCCAGATCAGTGCTTCCCTTCCATTATGAGAAATAAAAATGACAGGTTAAGTAAATTAATTTTCTCTTTCTCATACATGAGCTACACTCCAGGCCAATGGATCTTATGGTAAGTAGCAAGCAGTAAAATACAATTCCTAAAGAGGGAAGACACATTAAATACAAGTCAATGTAAATCCCTACAGGTAAAACAAAAATAAATAATGTATTTTATTCATTTACTTTTTGTAATATTAACTTTATTATTTGCTTCTTTAGTTTAGGTTGAGGTAAGCCAAAAGAGCAAGGGCTGCATAAGTTGAGGAGAGAATGTGAGTTTGATAGAACTTGGGGAAATAACCACAAATCTTAAGTGGCCACACTGTAAATCCTTTCATCCCAAGAATCTGAGGGTATGTCTACACTGCAATTAAAAACCTGTGGCTGGCCCATGCTAACTGACTCAGCTCAGACGAAGGGGCTGTTTAACATTTGGGACTGGACTGAAGCCCTGGCTCTAAGACCCTACCAGCTGCAGCCCAAACCTGAACGTCTACACCGCAATTAAACAGCCCCGCAGCCCGACCCTGGCAACCCTGAGTCACCTGGCAGGGTGTCTGATTACGGTGTAGACATACCCTGAGGCACCCTTAACAGAATAAACTTTGATGCTCCCAGGAGGGGACTTACTGGATGCTTTGCACACTTAATTTGATTTTTGAGAGCTAACATAATGGGGACCTTGAAGAATTTTTCAATACTCCCATGAAGATAAAATAAGGCATCTAACTTTCTCCACTCTTTGGTCAAGGGCTGAGAGATTTTAAAACCCATTTCACATCCAAAAAATGTTTTTCTAATAACAGTTGGGAAAGAAATAGACTGATCCAACTTTCTTACTGTTATCCAAGGTAGTTGTATCTCAAAAGGAGACAGACAAATACGGTGAGGCGTCCACTTAACGAGTAAAAAGATAGTAAGGGGGCTGGCAGTGGTTGGAGCAGTGGTCAGGCCTTGTGGTTAGAGCAACAGTTGGTAGCCAGGAATAGGAGCTCAGGATCAGAGCTGGAGTAACAGACCAGATGCCACAGCCAAAGTTCAGAGCTGAAGTCAGAAATCAGAGCTGAAGGTCAGAGCCGGGTTATCTGGAATAAGGCAAGGTTGGGGTCAAGGTAGGAGCAGGGCTGAATCTGAGGCAGGAACAGGGCTGGGACAAGGATGAAACAAAGCAGGAACATGACTTGGAACAAGCAGAGTAGGGGTTATCACAGCTGTGCATGAATGCTTTCAGCAGTTGCTGAACTACTGCTCCTTTGGGGTTAAAGAGATGGTCTGATGACTTCCAACCAATCAGGCAGTATAGCCAATCAGGCGTCCTACTGCAGGCCAGCTGTATGCCTCAAATTTTGCCATAAGTGCAATACTAACTCAATATGAGGGGCCCCGCAACCAACTCCACCCTGTGCCTATTATTCTTGGAAGCTAATCCCAGCAGAAAAAAATTATGTTTAGAACAAGGAGCTACGGGCTATCGAGGTGGATTTTGAGGAGTGGGGCTACCTCCTAGAAGGATCCTAGTTCCTGGTTCAAGTCCTAATGGATGACAAGAACCTGGAGTACATACAGACTGCAAGATGCCTTAACCAATGCCAGATCTGCTGCTCTTTCTTCCTCACTGACTTCGACTTTGTTGTAACTTATCAACAGGGGACAAGAAACAGCAAGGCAGATACCCTATCTCACAAAGATAAATATTCTGTTACTATGCTCAAGATGTCCAACTATGTCAATGGGACAACTGACAGCTGTCTGATGTCCTCCATCCACTTCTACTCCCCAATGACTCATATGCAACCCAGATCTGCCAGATCCTGAACTATGAGGGTACCCAAAATGATTAAGTTCCAACTACAGAATGGTCTCTTCTGTCGTAAGGGTTGTGTTTATGTTCCAGAGGGACCATCTAGGCTTCAGGTATTGAAATTATACCACAATTTTCCACTTGAGGGCCACTGTGGCCAATTCAAGACCTGGAATCTGGTTTCAAGGAGCTTCTCATTAACTCAGAGCTCAAAAACCTTTAAGGTGGTTTGAAAACTCTGCTGCTTCTACTGTTATTTGTTAGTTCAGGACCAACATGAAGGGATGGAGGAATATCCTCCACCAAAGTGAAGTATGAAATGGGAGACTACCAAGAGTGGTATAAATACTGGTGTGTGAAAACGTGTAACAGGATTTCTGTAGTGACTTTATAGCTATGTCACTTTTGGCAACTCATTGTGTCAACCTTTTCATTGCAGAATTATATTTAGATTGTACACTACTATGAGCTACTAAACCACACTCTACTGCTTTGACTTGTGAAGAACTGCCAGTGGGACCAATGAGGTGGCAACCTAGGTTTGGATATCCTGGCACACAAACTGAGGAGCTTGAGAGAAGAAAAAAAAATTAGGCACACTTTTTCCTACACCTTCCACATATTTGGATGCTCTGCTGTCTGAGGTAGGCCAGCGGTACATGTAGACCACTTTGCTGTGTGCCTAAGGAATGCCAGTGGCAGACAGGGCTAAATCACAATGACATACTCTGAGCCAGAAGAAATGCAGGCCTACTGACATTAGCAAGTTGCAAAAAGAAAAGGAGTACTTGTGGCACCTTAGAGACTAACCAATTTATTTGAGCATGAGCTTTCGTGAGCTACAGCTCACTTCATCAGATGCATACCGTGGAAACTGCAGCAGACTTTATATATACATAGAGAATATGAAACAATACCTCCTCCCACCCCACTGTCCTGCTGGGTAACCAGGAGGTATTGTTTCATATTCTCTATGTATATATAAAGTCTGCTGCAGTTTCCACGGTATGCATCTGATGAAGTGAGCTGTAGCTCACGAAAGCTCATGCTCAAATAAATTGGTTAGTCTCTAAGGTGCCACAAGTACTCCTTTTCTTTTTGCGACACGG